TCCTCATCCCTGCCTATCATGCCCCCGGGACCTTATTCTCCTGTGTCTTTTAAAAAAATAATTTATTGATGTATTTTGTTTTTGTGTAGATCATTTACCACCCCACTCCCCCAGACAGACCTCTTTCTTTTGGCAAAGAAAAACCATGAAGATAAAATATCCTATATAGAAATATCCTTTTCTGACAACAAGAACCTAGTAGTCCTCCTATCTCTCCTCCATGAGGAGGGGATATGTATCATTATCTCTTCAGTAGGACCTTCATGGGATTTCTATTACTTAAAGATTAACTTCTTTTACTGATATTTTCATTCATATCTTTGTAGTTGTTTAGTTCTCTTGATTTTGTTTAACATCCTTCCCCTGCATTCTTCATCAAAACTCTCTTGCATCCTTGATCTCTTCCTCTTACTGATCAACCACCTTCAGTGGCTCCAAAATTCAAGTTTTTCAACCTGGCATGTAAAGCCTTCCACAATCTTACTCTAACCTACCTTCCTTCCCATTCTTATTTCCCATTTCTTTCCTGTGCACACTCTACATTCCAGCCAAGCTGGACCACCAGCTGTACCCCAAACCCAACATTCCATCTCTATGGCTTGACACTGGCTATCTCTCTCATGCCTGGAATGCACTCCCTCCCTCTTCATCTCCATCTCTGAGACACCTCTGCTTCCTTCAAAGCTCGCCTCAGGTGCTAGTTCCTGTGGGAAGCCTTCTGTGCTCCCCCAAATTGCTATTGCTTTCTCCGTCCTCAAAAACCTTGTATTTGTTTCTCTACATGTTATATACCTTCACACCGCCCCTCCCCCAATAGAATGTAAGCTTTTTGAGGACAAGGACTTTCACTTACGTCTTTTGTGTTCCGTGTTTTTGCTGTTGTTGTTTATCCTTCATTCTTAAAGAGGTCCTACTACTAACAGAGTCTCTTGGGCAATGTTTTCCCTCTCCTATATCAGTAACTTCATCAGTGGGGAATTCCCAGTGTAGAAACTCAAAACTTCCCCCACCAGTGATGATCTGCAACTCACTTTTTAAAAAATAAATGTTTGTTAACTTTTAATTTTACATCACCTAAAATTCCCCCTGGGAGTTCCTCCCCCAGGTAGCTAAGTAGCACAATGGATAGAGTGTCTGGGTTGGAGTGAGGAAGACTCATCATCTTCCTGGATTCAAATCTGGCCTCTGATACTTACTAGCTATGTCACCCTAGGCAAATCACTTAACCCTGTTTGCCTCAGTTTCCTCATTTGTAAAATGAACTGGGGAAGGAAATGACAAACCACTCCGGTCTTTGCCAAGAAAACCCTAAATGGGGTCATGAAGAGTTGGATGTGACTGAATAACAACAAAAATTCCCCCTGTCTGTATCTCTCTCTTCTTCTTCCCAGAGAGCCATCTCATACAACAATTTTTAAAAAGAAATAGAATAGAAAAAAATTCAGCATAATCAATTAATCAATCAATACATCCCAACCCCCCCCGAAAATATGTGTAATGTTCCACAGCCATGGACCCCTTGCCTCTGCAAAGGAATAGAGGAAGGTGTCCTCTCATGTCTTTCTTTAGGGACTCTGCTTCCTTCCCTTTGCATCAGCTCATGTGAGTCTTTCCAGATTTTTCTGTATTCATCATATTTGTCTTTTTTTACTGCATAGTTATCACCATTATCATCAGTTTAGTAATTTTTCAGTCGTGTCTGACTCTTTGTGACCCCTTTTGTAGTTTTCTTGGCAAAGACACTGGAGTGGTTTGCCATTTTTTTCTCCAGTTCACTTTACAGATGAGGAAACTGAGGCAAACAGGGTTAAGTGACTTGCCCAGGGTCATACAGTTAGTAAGTGTCCGAGGCCAGATTTGAACTCTGGAACATGAGTCTTCCTGACTCCAGGCCCAGTGGTCTATCCACTGAGCCACCCAGCTGCCTATTATCATGATCATGATCATGATTCACAATCATGATAATAACAGCTCACATTTACATAGTACTACCAAGGGCCAGGCACTGTGCTAAATGCTTTACAAGTCTTTCATTTGATCCTCACAACCCTGGCAAGTAAGAGCTATTGATAACCCAATTTTTCTGATGAGGAAACTGAGGCAGACAGAGGGGAAGTGACTGACCAGGAAGACACAGCTAGCGTCTAATAACATCCATAGTGTCTCATCATATCCACGTACCACGCTTTGTTTAGCCATTTCCCAAATGGTCGTCATCCACTTTGTTTCCAGTTCTTTGCTCCCACAAAAAGTGCCGCTAGAAATGTTTTGGTGTATACAGGAATTCTCTTTTTATCAATGACCTTTCTGGGGCTTATGCCCAGTATCAGAATCTCTGGGTCAAAGGGAAAAGACATTTTAGTCATGTATTTGTTTAATTCCCGATTTCTTTCTAAACTGGTTATATAATTCCTATCTCCACCAAGAATGAACCAGTGTGCCTATCAGCCTTTCTGATCTTTGGACATCAAAGAGCTTGCCAGTTTGCTGGATGTGAGGTGGAGCCTCAGGGTTGTTAGAGCATTGAGAGGTTATGTGACTGGACCAGGGTCACCCATGTGTGGTCTGCGTCACAGGATAATAGGACCATAGGTTTAGAGCTAGAAGGGATCTTGGAGTCCAATCTCTTCATTTTACAGACAAGGAAACTGAGGCACAGAGGTTAAGTGACTTGTCCTCAGTCATACAGTTAGTATGTGTCAGAGATGGGGTTTGAACCCAGGTCATCCTGACTCCAAGGCCAGCTCTGTTTCCTCTAGGCCTCTTATCTTATACATAGTAAGAACTTAATAGATATTTATGGAATTAAAATTGAACAGGCTTTTTGTCTTATTTCTCTTTGTACATATCACAACATCCCTCTCCTTAATCCTACCCCAGACCATACGCTTCTAGAGGGCATGGATTGTTTTATCTTTGTATTCCCAGTACTCCACATAAATTATGTGCTTAGTACATGGCAAGCATTGAAGAAACTGAGTTGTTTAATAAAGAATTTAATGAATTGCATTGGAGTGGTGATGTCAATGAGGGACCCAGAGGAAGAAGATACTTTATTTATCCTGGGTGATCAGAAAGCCCCCCCGATCTGCAGGGTACCTCCCATGGAACTAGGCATTTATACTTTGAGCCATTTGGGAATGGGACAAACCCAGCCAAGAACTGAATTGAACGGAGACATTAGGGATAGCTAGGTGGTGAATTCTTGAGTTCAGTTCTTGAGTTCCTGCCTTAGACACTTACTAGCTCTGTGACCCTGGACAAGTCACTTCACTCTGTTTGCCTCAATTTCCTTATCTGTAAAATGAGCTGGAGAAGGAAATGACAAACCACTCTAGTATCTTTGCCAAGAAAATCCCAGATGGGGTCATGAAGATTTGGACACAACTGAAAAATGTCTGAGGAATCTGGACCAGACCAAGGGATGGTATGGACTTATGGTGGAGACACATTGCCTAGGGGTAGTGTGAATGCACTAAAGAGATTGTGGGATTTGGAATCTTGGTACATGAGTTCAAATCTGTCCTCTGCTTATTATCACAAGCTCTGGGAACCTCAGTTTCTTTCTCTAAAAAATGAAGGAGTTGGAGTAGATGATTTCCAAGGTCCCTTTTAGGTCAATCTCTTTGATCCTGTTAGAAAATAGGTTTTTAAATGTTTTTGTGCCCTGGACCCCTTAACAGTCAGTCTGGTGAAGCATATGGGCCCCTTCTCAGAATAAGTTTTTCAAATAATTGAGGGAAATGTTAAATTTCAGTTAGAGGTTAGTTAATAAAATATATCATTTAAAAAAATAAATTTACAGACCCCCTGGTATCTATCCATGACCCCAGGTTAAGAACACTTCTTTCAGAGAGAGTTAAGAAGAAGACGTTGGACAGCAATCATAGTGGAGAGAGCTCCAGGCATGAGCCAGGCTCTCCTGTCCTCGCTCTGTAACCTTGGATGAGAGCTCCCACCCACTTTCTGACCTTCTTCACCTTCCTCATCTACAAAAAAGAAAGGTGAAGGATTAGATTGGATGATTTCTAAAGTCCCTTCCAGCCCAGACATTTTGTGATTCCAGGACAAGTTGGGTCCTTCTGAACCTGGTCTCTAGTAGGTCTCTAGAGAGTGCTAGAAAATTCCTTCAGTAACATTTCGCTCTAAAGAAGAGTCAGAAGGGGATTGGTGACTGTGGACCAGCAGTGGATTTAAGCCTGGTCAAGTTTTGCAGGTTTTTCCCTAACTAGGAGCCAGCTGGCTGAAGGCAGTGGCCTTCGAGGGGTACAGGTGTGCCTTTCTTGTGCTTCTTGTGAGAAGGCTGGAGTCTTCGATGGTTAGCGGACTTTACTCCTGCTATGAGCTCTGGATGCCCTCTTTCCTTAGGTTGTTGGTGTAATCATGGTGTGTGTGTGTGTGTGTGTGGGAGGACTTGGCATGCAGGGAGGCCGAGTTCTCGCCCTTCTTAAAGGAGGCAGCCTGATATGATATAGTGTAAATAATACTGGTTCTAAGCAGGGGTTCTTAACCTGGGCTCCGTGGACTTGGCATTGTAAAAATATTTTTAGAACTGTGCATCAATATAATTGGTTTCCTCTGTTGTCCTATGTATTTTATTTTATACATTTAAAAACTTGATTCTTTGAAGGGCTCCATGGAGGTCAGCAGACTGGCTGTTAACGGGCACCAGGACACAAAAAAAGTTATGAAGGCTTGTTCTAGAGTAGGAAAGCTGACCTTCCATGCATGACCTTGGGCCAGTCACTTCCCCCTCTTCTGTAATAAAAGATGGCCTCTGGGGTCCCTTATAGTTTTAGATGTAGAATCCTAGGAACCATGTGATGAGTGACCTTCCTTGAGGGGTAGTAAGGTAACCTCTGGGCCTGGGGCCCAGAAACTCCTGCCTGCCCCCAGCTTGAAGTTTTTCCTCCTTACACAGCAGTTTGTGACGTAAGCTTCAAAGGCCTAGCTGCTCCCTCCACATCTGGGTGGGTGGTTTTCTCTTTCTGTCGTTTTTTCTTTCCTGTCTTCCGTATGAAGGAAATAGATCACATTTCAGAGAAACTAGTCAACAAGCAGATTCGTCGACAGAGGGTGATAGCTAGGGGCAGTGGTGACTGGGCCTAGACCCTGTCACCTAACTGCTTTCCCCACCCTGAAGCTCTGGCACCCAGGTAGCCTTTCCCTCCATGGAACTTGGCCCTCCAAGGGACTGAAGAACACTGACCGAGGCAAGGAAGCCTGGTTCCTTGGGCCTATTGCCTCTGGACCCTCCACAGGTGAGCCTTTTCCTTATTTCTGACCCCTGGTTCTGGTTGCTGTCCTAGACTGATAAGGGTAGGGAAGCTCTAGAGTTAGGAAAGAAGAGGCCCATACTCATCACAAGTCACGGTGGTGACTCCTTCTTCCCGCAACCCAGGCATCATGCCTCAGCCTTGAGTCACTCAGTATCATGGTCCCCAGGAGAGAAAGAGAAAGGGAAAGAAAGAAACACTGAGCACTAACCTGCATTTTGGGGAAAGGGGAGTTATATTTCCCAGGGCCCAGAATTCCCCAGCCCAGGAGTCAGAGTGGCGAGCCAGCCATTCCTCTGGCATGTTGTGTGGGGTAAACAGGGATGTCAGGAAATGGTGAGGGAGCAGTCAAACTGGGGAGTTGGGGATTGGTAAATTTAAGGGAAAGATTTAGAGATAGTCAGACTAGGGGATAAGGGCATTGGTAGTCTAGGTTGGCAGACTGGGTATTTCAGGAATAGTCAGGCTAGGGGGTTGAGGTCTGGGAGACGGTCAGCCTGGAAGTTCTTGAAGTGGTCAGACTGGGGCCTGGGGAGGGGAATTGGAGATAAGAGGATGATCAGACCATAGAACCAAAGAGCTAACCAGACTGGAGATTGGGGCATGGTCAAACTGAGGTGCTTTGGTGTGATCGTATTGGGCAGACAGGGAACAGTTGGACTGTAGGGGTTCAGGATAAGGTCAGACTAGATAATCCAGAGTAGTCAGTTGGAGGGGTCAGAGTGTTATTAGACTAGGGGTTCAAGAGACAGTCACATTGGGGTTTCAAAGGTGAGTTAGATCTGGAAATTTAGGATATGGTCAGACTGGGGAGTCCGGAGGCAGACAAACTGAATGCTCAGACTAGGGAATTGAGGGGTGGTCAGACTGGGTAGGTCAGAGGGATGATCAGATAGAAGGCGGAGGGTACAACGAAGCTAGGCTTTGAAAGGACAGTAGGACCGGGAGGGGTGTTAGGATGCTTGGATCAAGACAGGGGCCGGGATGAATGAGTTTCTCACTCTACAACTCTGCATTTAGGACCATTTCTCTTTGCGGGAAGGAACTGGAAACCCACCCACCCTTTGTCAGTGCTGCTCCAGCCTAGACACCATCAAGTAAGTAATTTCACTGTGCCAAGCCGACCCCTTTTAGGGGCATTAAAGGTACAGGCTGGGCCAGTTAGTGGTGATAACAATGATGAGTACAGATCATTGGGGGTGGGGGAGGAGCGATGTCCAATGGTGATGATGGTATTGATAACATCTCACATTAGCACCCAGGGGTGAGAATAATGGTACTAACACAGGGGTGGGGAACCTGTGGCCTTGAGGGCACAAGTGGCCCTCTGGGTCCTCAAGCAAAACCCTTTGACTGAATTCAAACTTCACGGGTTGCATTTAGTCAAAGGGCCACCCTTGAGAACTTAGAGGGTCACCTGCGGCCTCGACCCCACTTCTGTCAGCTAACACTGGGGACCTGTAGTAATACCAGATCGAGGCACTGAGGAAGGCCTTGGATAGCTTTTCATAGTCCATTGGCTGGAGGGGAATGAGCCTGGCCCAGAGATGATCCCTCCTCACTCTGCTCCTTTTCATATGGATGAAAGTAGTGCTTTTTCCTGGGTCCCCAGGTCTGTTCTTAGCCTCTGGAATAGGCCTTTGCATTCTTTAGCTTCCTCTTCTTCCTCTTCCTTCTCCTACTAAAAATAATAATAATAATAATAATCTAAAAAGAGGAAAAGAATTGATATATGTTCTCAGGGTACGTGATAAACAGGTTAAAAATGTACAGAAACTCTTCTAGAACATATATTAGATTGCAAGCTCCTTGAAGGCAGGAACTGTCTTTTGCCTCTTTGTGTATCCCCAACACTTAGCACAGGGCCTGGCATATAGTAGGTACTTAATTAATTGATACAGACAGATATCACTTCACAGAACAGTAGTAAAGACAGACAATAAGTACACATCATTGTACTTATCACAGTTGGCCAATATTGGTTGGATGGAGCCTATGAAAGGGCTAAGATCTAAGACGTGAATCAAAGGGCCCTCTGTGGGTAACATCCGCATGAATTTACGTTGACAAATAAACTTTGAACAAATGACCAATCTGGGCAGATTTGTTTGATGAAATGGAAGGGTTTATGGCAGTGATGTAGGACCAGGTCACTGCCCCCAGAAATCACAGAAAAATCAGATTTAGGTAGATGATAGATGGATGGATGGATAGATAGATAGATAGATAGATAGATAGATAGATAGATAGATAGATAGATAGATAGATCTGGAGAGAGAGAGGGTGAGAGGAAGGGAAGGAGGGAGACAGACAGACAGACAGGTCAGTAGGTAGTTATGAAAAGACACATATTACTGATATGCCAGGTACTATGCTAAGTGCTGGGAATACAAATACAAACAAGTAAGATAGTTTTTGCCCTGTCTTCAAGGAGATTATATTTTGATGAGGGAAGACAACACATAAAGAATAACTGGAAAAGGGGGTGGGGATGGGAATGTCGCTGCCAGGAACTGTCTGGAGGCCTAGCGCAGGACAAGATAAGAGAAAAGCTCATTTATTAGAGCCCAGTTTCTCAGGAGGCAGATTATGCAAAGAAATAGTAGAAACTTCCCAACATTTCACTATGGGTTGCAGATGAATAGCTATTGAACATCTGGAAAGAGAGACACGATCAGGTGGCCGAAATACCAGAAGCTCTCTTGTCCTTTGTATACCAATAGACAAATCTCCATATTACAAATACAGATCCCAAAATATTCTTGAGAATTCAATGAATAAACTGTACTGGAAATAGGAAATTGTTCTAAGAGAGCATCTTTCTTTTACCACGAATTGTTCAGGGTATGACCCAATCTCTTACGCTGTGGCTTTGCTTGATTCAAGGAAGTATACAGGTCCTGTTCCTCAGTTTCCATTGTTTGATTCCATCTAAAAGTATTTTAACCTAGTTAATGTAGGAAAGGTAAAAAAATAAAAAGGAGGAGTGGTTTCAGCCCCATCCTTAGATAGTGATAGATGTCTCAGGATAAAAAGACAAAAGTTGTGCGTGCAAAATACTAAGACGCCCCCTTGTCATCAAGACCCTACCTTCTAACTGGGGAGATACCAGACATCTCTCTCTCTCTCTTTCTTTCCACACACACACACATACGCATACATTATATATATGTATATTATATATGTATATATCTCTCTATATAGGAATGTGTCTGGTGTCTCACCAGTAAGAACATATATGTGTGCATATGTGTATGTATATATGTATGTATATGTGTGTACATGCATATACACATACATGTATGTGTATACACATACACATACATATGTGTATGTATATATGTATGTATATGTGTGTACATGCATATACACATACATGTATGTGTATACACATATACATATATATGAAAGGGACAGGAAAGGGGTCTTATAGGATATATGTGTGTATATGTGTGTATATGTGTGTATGTATGCATATATGTGTGTATATACATATATAATATGTGTATACACACACTTGTACACAAATATACATATATGTGAAAGGGACAGGAAAGGGGTCTTATAGAAGGATATATGTGTGTATGTATGTATATATATATGTATGTATGCATATATGTGTGTATATACATATATGTATGTGTGTACACACATATCTATATACACATACATATATATATATGAAAGGGACAGGAAAGGTATCTTGTAGAAGGATGTACTTATGTTGCATCTTGAAGGAAAATAGGATTATAAGAGGTAGAGATGAGGACGTAGAGCATTCCAGGCATGAGCCAGTGCAAAATTGCAGAGATAGGAATGTGTAAACAATGTAAATAGGCTTATATGAGTGAATAAGAGTCAGGAGATGAGGATAACTTGGAGATTTTGAAACTAGGAGACTGAAAGGATTATAGTGCCCTCTGCAGTAATAGGGAGCTTTGAAAGAGAGGTGGGTTCCAAGGGTCAGTGAGGGGTGGAGGGATTAAAGGTCACTGTGTAAGGATGAAGAACAGGTTTAAGAGGAGGAAGGTCCAGGGAGAGATGGAACGACAGGAACTTAGGCTTCTGATGAAATAACTTCAGAACTCTTTAAATACGGAATGCCTCACGATCTTGTGTGTTGTCTTTGAGCAGGAGCCGTGCTAATCTCCTCTGTGTATTCCAGTTGTAGTATATGTGCTGTTGAAGTGAGCACTGTTTCAGAATTCTTGGTCAAGGAAGTGGAGCATTTGTGGGTGATGGTGAGATTATTGAAAGAGATGAGAACAAATTAATAACAAATATAATAAAAGCTAACATTGATATGGGACATTTTTGGGAAGGTTTTTTTTTTTTGCTTTTTGGTGAGGCAGTCGGGGTTAAGTGACTTGCCCAGGGTCACACAGCTAGTAAGTGTTATGTGTCTAAGGTCAGATTTGAACTCAGGTCCTCCTGACTCCAAGGCCGGTTCTCTATCCGCTGCATCACCTAGCTTCCCCCTGGGAAGTTCTTTTTAAGAAAATCTCATTTAATATCTTATTTTTCCTCACTTACTTGAAAAACAATTTTAACATTTTTTCAAATTTTGAGCTCCAAATTCTTCCCCTCCCTCCCTTTCCCACTCCCCATTGAGAAAGCAAGCAACATGTGTAGTCATGCAAAACACATTTCCATTTAAGTTATTCCTCAAAAGAAAAAACAGACAACCCTCTCCCCTGAAAAATAAAGAAAAAGTATCTTTGATCTGCATTCAGGCTTTGCCAGTTCATTCTCTGGAGATGGACAGCACTTTTATCAAACATCCTACAGAATTGTCTTGGATCATTGTATTGCTGAGAATAGCTAAATTATTCATAGTAGATCATCATACAATATTGCTGTTACTGTGTACAATGTTCTCCTGGTTCTGCCCATTTCATTTTGTGTCAGTTTATGTAAGTCTTTCCATGTTTTTCTGAGACCATCCTGCTCATCATTTCTTTTTCTTTTTCTTTCTTTCTTTTTTGTCTAGGCAATGGGGTTAAGTGACTTGCCCAAGGTCACACAGCTAGTAAGTGTTAAGTGTCTGAGGCTGTATTTGAACTCAGGTCCTCCCGACTCCAGGGCCAGTGCTCTATCCACTGTGCCACCTAGCTGCCCCATCATCGTTTCTTAAAGTACAATAGGATTCCATCACAACCGTATAAAGTGACTTGTTTAGCCATTCTCCAATTGATGGACATCCCCTCAGTTTCCAATTCTTTGCCACCACTAAAAAAGCTGCTATAAATATTTTTATACACATATGTTCTTTTCCTTTTTGGTTTTTTTTTTTTATCTCTTTGGGATACAGACCTAGTAGCGGTGTTGCTTGGTCAAAGGGTATGCATGGTTTTGTAGCCCTTTGAGCATAGTTCCAAATTGCTCTCCATAATGGCTAAATCAGTATATGACTTCACCAACAGTACACTAGCATTTTAGTTTTCCCACATCCCTTACATTTGTCGTTTCCCTTTTCTGTCATGTTAGCCAATCGGACAGGTGTGAGGTAGTAGCTCAAAGTTACTTTAATTTGCATTTTTCTCAATAGTGATTTAGAGCATGTTTTATATGACTATAGATAGCTTTGATTGCGTTGGCTGAAAACTGCCCGTTCATATCCTTTTACCATTTATCAATTGAGGAATGACTCTTGTGTCTATAAATTTGACTCAGTTTTCTGTGTTTGAGAAATGAAGTCTTTATCAGAGAAACTCACTATAAATTTTTTTTCATAGTAATGATTACTAACTATGTGCTCCATCTTGTTTTCCCCCATTTATCCTACTCTCTCTCCCCTTTTACTGTTTTCATTTTCAAAAGTGTTTTGCTTCTGACTTTTACCTCCCCCAAACTGCTCTCCCTTTTACCAGCTTCCCCTCTGCCCCTCCCCCCATCTTTTTTTTTCTTTTTGGTGAGATGGTCAGGGTTAAGTGATTTGCCCAGAGTCACACAGCTAGTAAGTGTCAGGTGTCTGAGGCTGGATTTGACCTCAGGTCTTCCTGACTCCAAGGCCAGAGCTCTGTCCATTTCACCACCTAGCTGCCCCTTCTCCCGCTTTTTTTTATCCCCTTTCCTTCCTACTTTCCTGTATGGTAAG